ACCCGCACGGGGGAGCCGCTGCCGGGTTTCGGATGCTGCGGGTGCTTTGGACGAGGGGGGACGCCCCAGCCCCGGTGTTGGCGTTCGCACGTGCATTTCCCTGCCGCCGATCTCGGGCAGGAAGCCCCGCTACGCCGCGGAGGTAACGAGCCGGCATCTAAGGTTCCCACGATGAAGTTAGCAAGCAGCGCCCGGAACAGGTCGCTTTTCCTGCGTTTCACCGCGCGGAGTAGGTCGCCAGACCCCGGCGGCGGCAAAGGCTTCGCGGCTAAGTTCTCTCGGTGCACGATCGGGAGATGGCAGGGCGGACTGGAATTCCCGCAAACCGCCTTCCTTCATACCCCCCCTCCCCCGACCTGTTGAAATATGGGACCAAAAAAGGCGTAGTGTCTGCTAGGCGAGGCTAAGGGTTCCTAGGTCTGTGTCTCTGCACGATGAAAGAATGGTGCTGAAGTGCAAGTGCTTGTTGGATGGGACTATGGCCTTAGACAAACGGCTCAGCATCCTTCTCTTCCTAGAAGTTGCCCGTGTTGCCCTGAGGACAAGCCCTTGCAATTGCGTAACTTTCCTTTTCTGTTTCTTCACAGGGGCACTATGAACGAAGAGGAGCAGTTTGTAAACATCGATTTGAATGATGACAACATTTGCAGTGTTTGTAAACTGGGGACAGACAGAGAAACCCTCTCCTTCTGCCACGTTTGTTTTGAGCTGAACATTGAGGGTACGTACGGAGGAGAGGTTCATTTGATGTCATGAACTTGATACAGCTTCTCTGTGGGAACTAGTGATGAGGCAAAACAGAAATTTCTTCCATGGTTGCAAATTGTGTCAAGTGTGGAGATCTGTTAAAGATAAGAGTTTGTGGAAACAAAGCTGAAGTTAGCAGAACCAAGAATTTATTTTAAAAGTATATTTTTTTAAGCTCCCATGGTGCTAACCCCATTTTTGCTAATATAAAAATGAGGAGTATTGACTGGTAATATGTTTTGTGCTTTGAGAGCTTATGAAGTTATGAGATTTTAACAGACATTTGTGTGTGTGTGTGTGTGTGTGTGTGTGGTTTGTTTTGATTTAATTGAGAACTAAGGTAACCAAACATTTATTTTGATAGGCAAATGTAATTGTATTCCATGCTGGTTTCCCCATTGCTATCTTACTATCTAGAAAAAAATGTTTTAATTTTTAGTGGTGACTCACACCTTTAATAATTTCTTAAAAGGCTTTTAAAATGTCTTAATAGTATTCCTAAGAGTTCTCCAAATACTTTTTAAAAAATCTCTGTTATTGAGACTCTTTATTTGGATTAGTGCACAGTTAATGTGTCTATAGATGGCAATAACTTGCTCCCAAGAAACATGTGGGAGATGTTTCTTAAATCTTGATGTTATCGTGATAAAACTGTGATTTTTAAAAATATTTGAGTCAGGCTAAAAAGAATATTCTGATAATAAAAAAGTTTACCTTAAGTCTTTTGAATTTTGAATTGTAACATCAGCAGAGGCATTTTTTTTAGACGTGGAGATTTGGGGTGGTTTCAAAGCAGTATTTCTTTTTGCCAGTTTGCATATTTGATAATTTTCATAATCTTTTTCTATTAATTAAGAAATATGAAATGTTCCTATAATAAGAAAAAGGAAATAGAAAGAAAAAAAATACACATTAGGATGATATACCTTGAGATTCCTATTAGGACTTACTTTTCAGAAATTGTTGTAGGCACCAAATTAATATATATAGATATTCTATAGTAAAAGTCAAAATTATAACCATAAGTAGACTGCTAAAAACATGTAGAGTTGTTTATGTGACAGTCATCTTTCATTTAAGATCAAATTGGTTATGACAGTTTTGCTATGATACTCTCTGGAAGAATTCTAGTTGCTGAACATGATAATTGACAGAAGCTCATGGATTTCCTGTAGGTTTCACACATATAACTTTGGCTTTAATAAATGTAGTAAATATAACTGATTTCAAAGAGAGGGCTTATAAAATATGATTTTACTGTGCCCTTTATCATGCTAGCATGAAAGATTATAAATTTATGTTTTTTGGAAATAGAGTTGGCCCTATATATTCTTTCACTTGTAGATTTTCATTTTAGATGGGCAGAAGCATTAGAAATGATCTAATTCAATCCTATATTTTACACTGAAGGAAACAGCCAGACTGTTGGACTGTTCAAGGTTGCACCAATGGTGATGGCAAGCTGTTGTTAAGTCCCAGGCATTTACTGTGAGCAATTCTGTGCCAGGCACTGTATTAAATAAGCACCTTACGTGGATTATCTTAGCTCAAAATAGCTCTGGGATAGCTCCTTTTTATCCATTTTAGAGGTGATGGAATCTAACCTTTGAGACCCAAGAAATATACTTTGAAGTAGCAGAGCAGTAATTGACAGTCCTGGACTTTGAAGCCTAATCATTTAGGTCTAGTATATGTGATCTTAATTTCATTGATCTGCTGTCAATAGTTACTTCAACTGATAGGGCTAATATTGGAAACCTGTTTTGCTGAATCCTAATTGGCTACCCTTGCTATTCGGTTAGCCAACTTTTTCTAACTAGTGCTTCCTGCAAAATCATTAATGGTATTCATGCTGTGATAGAATTTTTCTACAGAAATCTAAACTTTCACAATTACTTTTCTAGCCTTTTTTTAAATATGTATTTTAACTGGTTCTTAATCACTATATAAAGAATATACAGATATTTCTCAGGTACCATCCTTATAAATATTTCATCTCTAATACAACAGCTATCTCAATTTGAATCAGGACTATGTTATATTCTATCTACACTCAAGGTTTTATGTTCTTAATGCCAGTTAAACCTTTGTGAGAAAAATTAATTTCAAAATAAATTTTCTTCTCACTTTATCTGAAGTCTGTTCTCAGTTCTTGCAAATATAATACATGTTCATATCAACCACAATGATGAGCTGGAACAATATAATCATTTTAGTATCCTAAGATTATTTTTGAAATCTTAGGAATTTTAGGGGGAAAAAAGGAAGAAAGTGAGGACCCTGAATCGCACAAAATTTTTGTTTTTATATCAGTATACAGGTTTTTAGAAACCAACAAAAAAAGTGGTAATAAAATAATTCTGTACCTAAAAATAACAAGGTATATTCTTTGTCTATGTCAGTAAACATTTTTAAATGTTTTTGCAGTTTCCTTTCCTCTACTGTGTTCTCAGCACAGTGCCAGCCAATAAATGTTAGAATGTAAAAGGGATTTTAAAAACTATGATATTTAACTTTACTAGTTTGGTATAAGTATTTCATAATATGATAATGTTGCTATTGCCTGGTTTCTTAGCATACTAATTACTAAATTCACTCGAAAACATTCTATTTGTTTTTTGTTTTTTTCAGGTAAGAGGCTAATTAAAAATTCCCTTAAGGAATTTTTAGACTACTTTTGTTTTGTTTTTTGTTTTTATAATTTATCAGGGTAACATTGATTAATAAGATTATAGGTTTTAAGTGTACATTTCTATGATGAATGATCTGTATACTGCATTGTGCTCTCACCATCCAAAGAAAGATCATCTTCCATCACCATGTATTTGGCCCAAGACTAGGTTTTGAGTCCAGAATTAGGCTAGTTTAGAGCCCACATACTTGTAGTAAACAAAAATGTTTTACACCTTTTGGATTATTGCTTACGTCGAATCAAAACTGGTCTAATCAAATGGCCTCTTTTTTAAAAGCTGTATGCCTGCATATATTTATAAAATGAAGACAAAAGAGAAATAACAAAAGATAGCCTAATCTTGCATGAGAGATTCCCAGTATGGCTCTAGGTTGCCTTTTTTTCCTGTGACTTTATGGTAATTAAAAGGAAATAATGACCAGAATGAGTGGCTGCTCCCGCTGCAAACCTGGGCACGGGCAGGAGAACCCGGGCTGCGATCATCGCCTCCTGGCCCCAGGCTCCTCCTCCTCGCTCCCAGCCACCTCCTCTAGATGCCCGCAGGACGCACAGAGCTTCCGCCAGATGGGGGGATGAGGACACATTTGTAATACCTTAACCAATAAAGAAATTAAAGGGGAAAAAAAGGAAATGGGTATATCTACATTTTAGATACTTAAAAGACATGGGTGATATATAAGGGACCTAAAAATTATACTTTGAAGACTTAAATGTTCACAGGATTCCTTTTATTGTTACCTATAATTCACCATTAAAATAAAGTAACTTGTATGTGTCTAGGATTAGGAGACAGACACATAAACTTCTTATATTTGTAGCCTGTCCTTGGCCTTAAGAAGCCATAAAGTTTTGTGGTTTTCTGAGTATATGATTAAATACACTAATATGCTTCATAATTCATTGTGCTAAAACTTCTAAAGTTATTTAATGACCAAATGAGTATAATCCCTAAGCTGTTGAGGCTGGGAGGAAGGTAGCCCACGGTGGTCAGGAGCCAGTAAAGAAACTCAACTGTAATCTAACTGAGGCAGAAATGAACTAGAGAGGGAAAAGATTCAGGGCTCCAATCTGTTACTTCATACTCTCTGTTTTCATTTTGTGCCAAAATGCTGTGCATATAATTAGTGTTACTACCTTTCTCTAATAATTTGCTTTCTTCCTTTTCTATAGAGATAAACTTTTTTATAAGATTGGGTTAGCACTGGCCAGTGCGTCTCAGTTGGTTGGGCTTCGTCCCGTGCCCAGAAGAGTTGCTGGTTGGGTTCCGGTCAGGGCACATGCCAAGGTTTCAAGCTTGATCCCTGTTGTGGGGCATGCAGGAAGCAGCTGATCAATGTTCCCCTCTTACATCAATGTTTCTCTCTTCCCTCTCCCTTCTCCTCTCCCTAAAAATCAATTTTAAAAAAATCTTAAAACTTAAGATTGGGTCAATTCCTAAGCAAAGTTTCCAGTGTAGGTTGATCTTGCTAGTTGATTAGTGTGCATTACTAATTCTTACTAGTCCAGCTCAGACTTTATAGCCCATCTGAGTTTTGATTTTCCCCTAATTTGCTGAGCTTTTCTAGAAGCCTGCCCAAATTCAGATCCTTAGTAATCTTTCCAAAATGAAAAATCTATAGGTTTTCTCTTGGTTAAGGCACTGGTGAACCCAATGCTTATGTTTACTCTCATTCTTGATTATCTGTATCTGACTGAAATGCTGTTCATATGGTCAGTAGTCCAGGAGCAATTTGAATCTCAGTATTAAATCCTTAATAGCATTTCTCCACTTAAATAAAGGGGGCCACCGTTTTTGGTAGGGAAACTATGTACAGTCTAGATAACTCCATCTGGTATTAGCTTTACATTTGTTCCTCTTTTTTTCCCCCTCATAACTCCCCTCCTCCCAGTTCCCGCCCCACCCTCCGCCCTCACTCCCCACCCACTGTCCTCATCCATAGGTGCACGATTTTTGTCCAGTTTCTTCCCGCATCTCCCATTCCCCTTTCCCCGCCAAGAATAGTCAGTCCATTCCCTTTCTATGTCCCTGATTCATTATAATCACCAGTTCATTCTGTACATCAGATTATTTATTCACTTGGTTCTTAGATTCACTTGTTGATAGATGCATGTTTGTTGTTCACAATTTGTATCTTTACCTTTTTCTTCTTCCTCTTCTTAAAGGATACCTTTCAGCATTTCGTATAATACTGGTTTAGTGGTGATGAACTCCTTTAGCTTTTCCTTATCTGTGAAGCTCTTTATCTGACCTTCAATTCTGAATGATAGCTTTGCTGGATAAA